ATCCTACATGGCTGCATGGGACTATTCTGTCCTATCTGCAGGAATTTTCCTTCATTTCCGTTCAATTTCATGAGGCTCCTGTTATCAGTTGCTTGTCTAGGTATCTCTGAATGGCAGCCCTGCCCTCCAGTGCATCAACCACTATCCAAATTACTGTCATCCACAGTCCCCACTAGGCATGTATTCAATCCCATTGTCCAAGTTGTTGATTAAGATGTTAACATTATCAATCCCAGAGGAACACTATTCAGACTTTGAGCTGTCGACTACCACTTTTTTTTTTCCACCCACTGGAAGTTCCAGGTATTCTACCCCTGTATTACTATATATGGCATAATGTAATATACTGTTGTTGAATCACAAAAGGAAAAGATGGAAAGGAAGCGAACAACTTAGCAGCTATATGTATGTGAAAAAGCAGTATTTTAAAGGGTTAACTATATCTTTAAGAATGATACTGTGCTTTTTTTCAATCCCTGATTCACTAATAGGAATTTCCTGACATCTTCCTATCTTCATCCTTCTTCAGCTGATCTTCTTACAAGGATAATCTATGCATCCCTAAATGCATGGATTCCTTAAAAGATGCATTTTGTTTAGCACCAGCTAAGCATGCTTTCAGAAAACTGCAACCAGTCAGATAGTTTAAATAGCCAGGTAATCTTTCCTGGTCTACATAATAGACAAGGCTATTTCCAACATCACATTCTCCTTTTAAAGCCACCTGCTACAAATTGTGCACTAAACTTTATAGGGCCATTTTCAGTTTCACTGCAAGAGAAGGAACTAAGTCGTCTTAGCAAGGAAACATTAGAACCACTGCAAGCATCACTGCCTTAAACCAGATGCAAGACTCTCTATTCTCACTATTGTTCCCACGGTATTTTCCCACTAATTTATCATGCCTTGATGATCAGAAAAATTAAAGCGAAAATAATTCATTGTAAGGTGAGTAAACAGAAAAAAAAAAGAACCCAACTTTGATCAAGTTATAGGTATCTAGACATTGGAATCAGAGAGTAAGAACACTTTTGGGTTTTATGTTTGTACTACTGGGTTCAGACAGTGTGGAGGAGAAAACTGAGAAAAAGATGCCTGAAGGATAGCTGAAACTAGGATTTGGCAGCTGTCAGAGGGAAAGAACTGAGGTCACAAGGAAAAGCTAAAAGGTTCAACAGACATAATCAAGTCGTAGATACATACATGTCAGTATGTGTATAAAATACATTATGTCACCATCAAAATTACTGTAGAATATGAGAGTACAATAAACTCTACTGTGGCAGTTTATTTGTTCATTTCCAGATAGAAAAACATTAAGAAACTTTGCCAAAGCAAACAAACTGTAAGTGCAAATAGACTTTTAAATTACATTAACATACTAGAAGAACATCTGGTACAAACATGGTCAACTTTCCATGCATTCTTAGATAAGTATTTGTGGTTAGTGTTTCAGCTGCACTGGGCTATTTTTTTTTTTAATTATTTTTTTAATGAACTATGCTTACAGTTCATAAATGCTCAATGTCCTCACAAAATAAATACTCATGAATAAGCTCTCAGTATAAATTTGTCACCCCAAACACTGCTTTGCAGTGCATCTTCATGTCTAACTCCCTGATGTACAACTGTGCTGTTAGCTTTTGTGAAGATGAGAAGTAAACTGTTTCTATACAAGCTACCAGTTACTGCTTAGTCTTGAGAAATCCTCTAATCCACTGGTAAAAAAGAATGAAAACATGAAAATAAAATAATAATCTGATAACAGTGAGAAGTAAAAACATGAAGTACCTTTCGTAAAAATTCTAAGCTACTACCAATGACCAGCACAAATTGGGCTGGTGCCCACTGTGGAACAAATATATGGAGGAAAGCAAACCATGTATCATCACATATTCCCACACTGAATAGCCTAGTCAGTCTGTGGTACTACTATTAGAAAGACATAATCAGAACACTTGTTATACATTACTGAGATCAGCAGTATAGCCTTTACAGTAACTCTGACGTAGCTTACATTCCAGTTGCTGACATAGACATTAAGATTGGCAGAGGTTTCTGCACCAATAAAACAGGTGGACCAAGAAAAATATATTAAATGATCTCAAGTTTTTCTTAATTGTAAGAAAGTCAGTCATATTGTATCTTACAACAATTTATGTCTGCTTCTTACAAGTAGAAACACTGAAGTTGTTCTTAAAGAATGTTAATCCCAAAAGAGGAAGAACATTTGATTTTGCTATAAATACTTTGAAAACCCTAATTTCATTCTGCCACTGTTGTTTGGTGTCTGTCAGACTGAGGTCAGGACATTCTCATGCTAAATTTCAAATTTTTACTTTTCGTCCTCGTAGCACTGTTGGCAGGAACCTGCAAGGTCTCTACAGAATTAAAGTGATGCTCTGCTGAGTGATTTGTTGAGCCTGAAGTGTGAATTCCATAGTTTGCATGAGCTACCTACACCTTTCCACTGCCAGCTGCGCTCTTACATGCCAGTGCACATCAGTCACAACTTGCAATACCCTAAATATTGCAGCCCTTGGCCTATTCTGAACTGAGCAAAACTACTGTGCTAAAATACATGATGATTCCCCAGTGTCCACAAAACTTCATATTGGACTGAAAAGACAATTTAATTGTCTAATTGTTGTCAAGCAAATGACAAACAATCTACAGATACACAAGGTAAGGGTATTAACCATTTACTGTTTTAAGATGATTAAGCTTCTGTTCCTCAAACATCCAAAACTGATCAACGTTTCATCATCACAAAATTATTATAACTTCAGATAATTTTTGCTGACTATAAAGATTTAAAAACCGACCTTTGTTCCTTCCTTATTTATTTTGGAAAATGTATTCTATTCCTAAAACATACTGAAGTGCTTTACTTCCATTGGTACCTTAAGAGCTTAATACCTGCCCATACATAGCCTGAGGAAGTTCTGAAAACCCACCTAAAGACGACTTTAATTTTGGAAAATTCACTTTTAAGAAGATACAAGATCCGTATCTTCCATTAATAAATTTTCAAATGCAAATACATTGTTTATGCACTTATGCATTCCTCTATGATGTATTCTTATGAACAGGTTTTATAGGTTGCATCTTTACATGCTATTTTAGAAAGAAAAAAGTTATTTAAATATAAAACACATTTACTGAAATAAAAAAAGAACATTCTTCTGACGTTTACTGGATCAAGCTCTGCAGAACAGAAATATGTTACCAAAAAGTCAAAGATTCTTAGCAAGACAAAACCAGGATAACGTTAAATATTGATACTCAGATGAAACATATTGGTGGTAGTAGTAAGGCAAAATCTGGCAAAGGAAAATTAAAACTATTGCTGTTATGTATATTACCAATTCCCCCATACAGGTGTTTGTGGACTAGAGACGGAACTTAGCCATAAAGGATAACAAGTGAGTGAATCTCTGGCAGAGATGCAGCTTCTCATTACTGTTTCTTTACTCCTGTGGTCATTGGATTTTAAAAGTAAAAATACTTATTTTCCACCTTCAGGGAAAATAATGTCGCTTGACTGAAATGTTCCCTTGGGAAAAAAGGGAAAAAACAAACAAAAAACAGTGGAAAGTTTTCCTTAATGTTTAAATTGCTGACCAATGTTACTGGTTACACTGTGTTTGAAGAGAAATGAGCCTTTCCTTAGCTATGCTGACTGTTCCATACCACCAGGTGATCCAAGAGACTGGCAGTGCCTGCTTATTGTCCATCTGCTAAAGCAGTTTTCAGTTCAAACTGTTTTCTGAATTTAGTCTATGCCAGCTCCAGGACAGTAATACAGATTAGTTGCAATGATATATCAGAGAAGTTTCTCCAAATACAAGGTGCAAAGCTTATTAAATTTTATCTTTGCAGGACTATGCATGACATGATACAATTATGATTGTCAAGGTGTAAGAATGAATGGAAGACAGTTTAATAAACCAACTTTCTGCTTTCTCAAGAAAACCGGATATACACAGATGACAAAAACCCACCCTGCTATAACCACAAGATTAATATAGTAGTTATCTACCAACATTTCCTCCTGCAAATGAACCAAATTCCACATAAGCTTCTGAAGCATAATACTAGTCCTGAAATTTTCTGTAAAATGATACAAAGACAAAACAAAGTACAATTCCATGGCCATTATACTAGGTGGCTTTGCAGACTCAAAATAAGTTTCAGGAAATTTAAACAGATGCCATAAGATGTTGCTTAAATCAGTCTGCACAACACAATAATTTAGACTGGACAACGTATTACACAAGAGGTGTATTGGTAAGAAAGGGATATATACATTTTTTGCAACGGAAAAGGTGAGGCACTTCATCAAATGTCAGAATGGTACTAGCTGGGCAAGAGGTACTATATTAGGAAAAAAGCTTTTTATTCAAATTTTTGGTCCACTTTTCCATGATACTTTACTGCCTCCTTTTCATACTTTTAAATAGTATGTAATGTTCTATTCAGTTTGTTATTAATTTGAAAAAAAAGAACAGTTCTTCAACCTTGCTGTACCTTTAAATGGTTAAGCAGCACCAAGAGCCTCAAGAGGGATTCCATTAAATAAGCATTTGAGGATTGACTTACCTATAAAAAAGTTTGAACTTGCTCGCTTTAAACAAACAAATTTCAAATATCCACCGATGTTCCTAAATTGTGTTTATATTCCAGGCAGATTATAGAAGTGTATGTGTAACACAATGATTTGGTCTAATTATAACATACAACAAAAGTAGGCTGTTCTTGAGATTCTCTGCAAAGAATAATTTAACCTGTTTTATGATCACAAAATGAAAGACTGATGCAGGTTAAGTTTTTGTTTTGTCCATAAGTTTTAAAAATATAAATTAAAAAATGCTCATTTTTAATTATTTTTTTTACATATTTTCTTTTGCACATTCAGATGGGAGAGAAGGAGACTTTATAACTGTACTCATTTCAGTAAACTGACATATAGTTCACATGAAGTAACAAAGATTCCCTACCTTGATGGACTGACTGTAAGGTCCTATGCTAGCAGGTGCCCAGTGGGAAATGCTCTGTACATGCATAACCAGCTTTTCATCACGTAACACATCATCCATTGCAATGTCATACTTATGTGCAAGGCAGTCAATGCAAAACAGTACTCCATCAGGTAGCAGGGTTTCCACACATACTCTGAAAACACAAGACAATTATTTTTTTCAAACACAAAGTTTGCTTGCACCAACTTTCAGCATTTATTTTCCATGTTTTTTTTTTTTTTGTTTGGATACTATGTTATGAAATTTTGTCAGGAACATAAAATAAAAGCTATGGTATCACAATAACCTGCTAGCATTTACACTGTTATCTCCTCTCCAAATAATGATCAGCTTCAGATTTCCAGCAAGATAATTTCCAATACCAAAGAGAAACTAGCACCATAGTCAATGGCTCATTTCCATTTGGTTATTTTTAGGATGTGTATTACTTTATTAAGAATACATGAGTTCTTTTATTAAAAGAAACCTTGACCACACAACTCTGGAAATGCCAGATAAGTTATGCTAAGCAGCCTTCAGACTGAGTGTATCGTTGTCATATTCTCACCTCCACACATTTTTCACTGAATCTCCTTCCAATGGTTGGACTAGAAGTTCAGGTTTCTGAAAAGCAGCAGCTTATTGTTCCTTTATGCCCTTCTCACATGTTATCATGCAATACTGAGCATATTTTTCTGTAATACTTCAAGTTGCATGACGGACACACATTTATGACAGGACTGAAAGCCTACTTAAGCATTCATTTAAAAAGTTCACTTTCATTTGCTCCAAGGAAGACTGAGTGCCTGGACAGACAGCGACAGTCTGTTGCATGTGGCCAGAGAAAAGCAGGGGGTGTGTGAGGGGAAATCAACTTTTCAAAGCCTGAAAAATAATTATATTTGCAGTCCATGCATAAAAAAGTCATTTAGCTCCCAGCAGGAA